AAAAAAATCTCCCAACTAGCTAACATATTCATCTCGTATGATCCAAAAGTGTTTTGTTTTTCAAGCTAAACCAAACAGTTATCAAATATCTCCTAAAGGATAAGCTAGACGGATAATTGGATAGAGGACATAAATAAATTTTGTTATATTTATGAGGTGTGCATATATAATTCATTTATTTTAAATTTTTTTAAAAAATATATTTTCTCCGAATATGTTAATGATAAAAAAAAGAAATAGATCGAAACTGTGACTAAAGCCTCCAATGAAAGAACGATATAGAATGACTGCAATGTAAGCAAGCTATTGGTTAACGTGTTGATGGGAATAACAGGACTCTTCCTTGGTATTTGATTACAGATAGATATTGTTGGCAAAAAAAAGAAAAAAAAGATTACAGATAGATATTCATAGATGATTTTCAATCCTCATTTATTTGACGTACAGGTAATAGGAAATATTCAAACGAATTTTATTTAAATTTTTATCATTTGATGAGTTAACTTTAGGTGATTAAAATATTTAATTTTCCCCTGTATAATGAACAATATTTAAAATATTATAATTTAAATTTAAATCAATCTAATTAAAATAAAAGTTTTTTTCAATCTATATTCCAGATAAATAGTTTAATGAATTTTTTAAGAAGCAACATCTAGATCTAAATCTGAAATTATTTATTTTTGAAAGATATTCCGTTATATGATTATTAGGGGGAAAAGAAAATATTCCCTTATAGATTGTTTTTTTTTTTTTTGGATTTTCATTCCAGTTGGTTGTTTTAAGTTGTCATTTAATCGAACAGTTTATTATGTAGATACCACATTCCGTAAGAAATTAACTATGTAAAGTAAAACGACTTCATGAAATAAGATGATGTACTATATAGCTCATAAAATGGAAAGAAAGTCTCGTATCGTACAGAGTTGGAGGTTTTCTTAAAAGTGAGACTGTAAATTGAATTCTTTTTTGAAGTGTTGTAATGAGTGCGCAAGTTATTGGAGGAAAAATATATATATATATATATATATAACAAAAAGAAGAAGAACAATAATGATAATTCAATCACCAAGATATATTGTGGGAAGAAGAACATCACAAATTTGATCCCCAGCAAATATGAAACAGCCCAGGTTTTCTAAATAGATGTTTAGGCATCTGCAACTACAGCAGCTGACAAATATCCCTCAAGATTTTTCGTTTCAACAATAGAGTCTTTCTTTACTTTACTGCCTAGCTTGGCATCAATGGCGTCCCCCGCAAGAAATGAGTCAGATGCTATGGCTAGTGAACATGTAACAGTTGGAAAAACCAACAACATATATTAGAGAACATCAAACACTCAACTTCACCTCATGATTATGGAGCAATCTCGACCTTCGTATGATTCCATCAATGATCTCTTCTATTTCAAATGCTGGTGTAATACGCTGTAAAAGTTAAACAAGAATGATAAAGTTAGAACAAAAATCAAGTACTTTAATACTGATCAAGTAGGGTTTTCGTATTTTGTCCTTCAAAGAACAGAAAAAGAAGACAAGCAGAATCAATAAATTTGAACTCAAGAATGAATGTACGGTCTTACATCTATCGCCTTCTGCACATTGCGGGGCCTCCGCTTAGGCTTTCCGGAGGGCTTTTTCCCAGTAAAGGCCAAGAAATCTTCTTCTTTCTTCTTGTTCGATACAGTAATCGAAAAATTGACTATTATTTGGTTCTTCACTTCGTCTGAATTCTCCTTATCTGCTTCACTCAACTTCATCGGCGGCTGCGACGAACACGTAGGTTTTTTATTCCTCGACCTCAAGTTCCAAGGCTTAACAGTCGCATTGGCTGCCGTTTCGTCAGCAAACGAAACTTTCCGCTTCTTCGCCGCCGCTTCTTCGTCTTCCTCGTCGTCGTCGGTCGTGGGCTTCTCGCGAATAGCGTCGACGATGACATTTTCTGCATCTTTCTCGGAATCGAATTTCTGTTCTGGATCGTCGAATGATGTTTGCGTTGGAGGACTACTAACTCTGTTAGTGTTCCTCGGAGGCATTCCTCTCTTAAAGGTCAATAAATCACCTTCCATCTCCTTGTTCAATCTCGATAAAATAATAATCGGAAACATGGCTCTTTCCTTGTTACACAAACAAGACTTTACACTCTCAACGACCGCCGTTTCTTCAGCAAACGGAACCTCCAGCTTCTTTGCCGCCACTACGTCGCCGTCGATCGTAGGCTTCTCCGGAATCACCTCGATGGGTTTCTCAGCATCTTTCTGGGTATCCAAGTTCTGATATGAATCCTCGAATGAGGCTTGCGTCGGAGGATTGAAAACTGGATTAGAATGATTGTTCCTCAATCGGAACAGCAATTGATTGTTACGCGGTGGCCGTGGTGATGTTTCAGGCTCCATATCTAAGGGTTTCATGCTTCCCACGGAAAGAGCAAAAGAATCAGAAACTTCCTTTTCTATTCAAAGCGCCAGCTCTCAAGTATATATAAGAGAGGAACGAGATCATCATCAAAGTGGTGAGTACTAATAATTAAATCTGAACCATTCATTCAAATATAAAAGGTTCAGATTTAATTTTTTTTGGTAAGACTAGAGAAGTGATCTCACTTGGAGGATATTTTCGTGCCATTAAAGCCAGACTCTCGCCGCGGAAGCCACATGAGCAAATATTAATAAATTAGATTTAGAAATGTTTACTCAGGGATGAATAATTTATTATTTTCGTATATTTAAACTTAAAAGCTGTTGACATGTGCGAACCATATTGAAAAGAATTCGAAAAGGATTTTTAAGGCAAGTAGGATCAAAATTTGAAAGAGATGAGCATTCTTTCATTAGTAGGTGATAAAACGAGCACCCACCACTATTCAAGTTACTTTGAATTTGAGATTAATTTTTTTCAAGGCTTACAATGCAAAGATTTTTATCTTTTTTAAAAAAATGTAGTACTTCCAGCTTTTAATATAAGGGATAGTTGATTAATTTGAGTAGATTAAGGAAGTTTATTAAGTTAGTTATTTGTAATATATAAGTGTTATTTTTTTCTAAAATACTCTTACTAATCATGTGTATTAGCTGGAATTACTATTTAATAAAACTTGTAACACGCGTATCTATTACAAGAACTAGTTTAGAAAAAACGGATAAATATGATAAATAAAATAGATTAGAATATTATATTTATGATCAAATTAAAAGTCAAACTAACTCTTATATTAAGGATTAGAAGTGGTATTTTTTTGAAATTTGAATTTGTGTTCTTCTCTTTATAAAAGTGATGCTGCTTACCACTTCAACCAATAGTTTGTTAACGAGCTAATAAATTTTCAAGACTAGTAAATAAAATAATATTAATATTTTAATTAGGCTTGTAAATGGACAAACCTGGACATGACATAACTCCCACCTAATGCTCAACCTGAAAGATAAATGGATTGTATTTTGCAACCCGCTACCTGCCCATGCTTGTGAGAAACTAGAGTTATTTTGGGTTTAGTAAAGACGAACTGGGCAAGATAGGCTTTTGTGTTCAAATAGAGACATCTTGCCTATAATTTTATATACGAATAAAATTTAGTCAATACCTAACCAATACTACCTCCGGTCCTAATTATAAGACTTTATTTATAGACTATCAATAAGGTTTTATAATTAGGATTAAAGGTAATAATATTTTAAACATCAAATATATTCCACAATCCACAATTTGTAATACACCAAAAGAATAAATATAAATGTCGGTAGTCCACATAATTCCACCTCAATTCCGTAATTAAACACAATGCAATAGGTGTTAACCTATTATCCTTACTTGAACAAAAAGAAAATAAATGAAATCTAATCATCTATGATCCATTAAAAATAAGGAACCAAAAAAAGTATAGCATGACAATATCTGTGTATTATATTCGTATATAAAATTATATATATATATATATATATTCTTTGCAAATGAGCAGCACGGCATACTGTGTTCAATGTCTGATCTTGCTCAACAAGTAGTTCTGCCAAAAAATTGCTCAATATTCTTTTAAGCCATTTTTTTGGGCATGGCTAAGTATTTTTCTATCGGACTTTGTGTGGGTATAGCGGCTAGCGAGCCACATTAATGCCTCTATTTTAATATTGAAATTAAAAATTCAATAATAAGACAAGCTCACCCAAGGTAATGATGGTCCGATCAAGTTCCTTGGCAATAGCAGTTCAGCGCTGGTGATGTGCTCGACCGCCACATCCATTTTGGACATGTCCCATACGTTGGTAATGATCTTAAGCCCCTTTGAATGGGAACAAAAAAAAAAAAAAGCGGCGGGGCGTGTTGGGGAGATTAAACTTGCATCCAACTCTTCAAAACATTTTTTCAACATATCTAGCATCATAAAATATTTTATAATGTATCTAATATTTTAAAGTATATTTTTCCCCACTAGTACTAGATGCCGCAAAAAATATTTTAAGATGCAAGATGCACCTTGAACAAATAATTTAGAAATTAATGCACTAAAAAATATTTCACGGCACTAAATGTACTTAAAAAGACAGTTTATGATACTAGATATATCATAAAATACAGTGAGGTATTAAATACACCTAAACAAATAATTCAGATGTTAGATGCATCTTAACCAAAAATAAAAGCCACAAAAATAGCAAAATTCTAAGTATTTAAGGTAGTTGTGTATCCAAACATCAAATTCAATATCATTGATTAAGCTAGCATATCTTTCTACCAGCTGAACTATATGCTCATTGCTAAAACTATCTAACCATAACTCACCCACCCAGTACTCTATTTTAACCATAACTCATGCACTCGTATACTTTTTATAGAGGGTTCAAACTCTCAAACTCGCATTTAAAAAAATTTTAGGCACTAGTTGTCATTTAAGCTATAAGGCTCCAAGCCTCCAACCATGCTCATTGCCAAATGAGAGCATACGTTATTAAATATTAATAGCAGCTTATGCTCCTTGGTCCTGAGCATCATGTATTAATACATCTCTTTGAAACAAATGCAATGTATTATGTCACACCTTAACAAGCTTTAATTATTGATCTGAAGAATAAAGAGAAAAAGGAGATAGAAGGGAGATGCAAAAATACATATTGAATAAAGGAAAGTACTCAAGATAGCCTGTACATGACAATAGACAGCTATAAAATTGATTTCGCGCATCTATCTTCGGCTCACGAGAAGATTACTCATTAAAGGCCTCTACACTCACTCCATTGCGTATAACATAAAAGGAGGACCACGTTACTAATTGAGGGAAAATTGAATAGGCTATACAACTATTTACAGACCGTGTCAAGCGCCTTTTGTCACAAGTGAGACTAAGAGCAACGGGAATTTGATGGCTCCGTCTTGATCACACGGGTATTGTAAGAGCCACAAAATTCACATTTGTGATACAGCCAGTGGAAGGGAGAACACCCCTTTCGTTCGCAGTCATTGCAAAGTATGTCCTGCATTGCAATTACAACCAAAACAAATTATTATACCATTAAGAATGACCAATCTTGTGTATTTTATTTCACCCCATTCATATAGTTTGAAACCTCCTCTGGTACGGTGATATTGGAGGCAGAGTTAAAAAAAATTTGTACAAGTATTGCAAAAAATGATTAGAATGAAGCATTTCAGCAGATGATTCTAGTGAAATTTACACGTCTCAAAAACTACCAAAAAAATCACAGCCTAAGAGAGAAATATGTCATTTCATTAGTCATTTCGATTCTACTGGTTGTCAAAATCTAACAATTTACACCAAGTGACGAAACCAAGTATATGAATCTGACCTGAATTAGACACGGTCCTAAACTATGAATTTAGAAATCCCGAATTGTGAAAGTTGGCCAGCATTGCAACTCAATCCAACCTGAATGTTAATAGTCTCCAAAGTTTCTCTCTCAGCTTTTCCGGAACTAGAAACCCAATGTAACACACGAGAAGCTCTTTAGCACTCTCTCTTGTCCGCCTCCCTCCCTCACACATATAAGCTAGAGACTCTAACCGCAACAGTGACCAGGATTCCTCCTCCACTGGCCCTGCACCCAGAAAACAGGGCTCCCTTTGTGACTCAAATGCCCTCTCTAAGCAAGTTAAACTTCTTTACACAGGAGCAAATGAGTGCCTCTGCCTTTTACCATTGTAGATCGGTTTCCTACTTGATATAGATTGATCTTTCTGGAAGAATGAGTTGGTATGGCAGCCTGGCAGGTTTGTATAATAGTTGAGGATGGACTGTGTCTCTTATAAAGAAAACAGAGGAATGTTTACTCGGGGCCATTTCAAGAATTGATTGATTACACATTTATCTCTGATGAGCTAATAAACTGATAAAATACTTTTCTTAACTCAAATTCACCTTATGTTATGCAATTTCTAAGACATACATATATTTTATACGGTAAGCTATTTTTTAACTTGTTACTTTATCTTCTGTTACAAGAATTTAAAACATTCTAACCAATTTGAAACGCATGTTGTGATTTGATAACCATAATTCAACATTCTTAATTCATTTGTCTTTTGATAAACGCATAAATTTTAGCAAGGAAAAAAGCTCCCCAGCAGCTGTGCAAGAGAAGCAAAAGTAGATGTAGATACAGTGTACAACAACGTTGGCAAAAATAAAATAAAATAAAATAAAATACAGTATACAACAAACCTGATAACGGCCCCTGTACTCTTCTGGGAGCTCCTCAGCAGCCAATAAAGCATCAAGCATGCCAAAGTAAACCTGGGTAGAAGGAGAAACAACTAATTATGGTGTGTTTTACTAAGCGGGGTGAGTTGCCTCCCCCCCCCCCCCAAAAAAAAAAAGTTTGTTTTCTTGTGCCCGTCCACCATCATGATTGATTCTTCATTAAAAAAAAAATTAATAAAAATTTGAAAGCATATAATGCATAAGATCAAACTTGACAGTGATGATCTACAAAGGAAGTCTTTTTAGTTCTCACCGCCATGTCACCCAATGATTTGCTGCAGATTGGACACGTGTAGTGACTACAAGTGTAAGCCTACATTGTTGGGAAAGTATAAGTATGAATCTGTGAACCTCAAACCTCTTAGAATTCTTCTTATTAAAAGTTAAAAAAATAATAATAGAAGACGAATATCTTGCTTTAAGGGAAGGTTTAAAACCTAAAATGGGCCAGAAACAGACCTGAAAGCAAGCTGAATGCATATAATGACCACAAGGTAGAGCTCTGACTGTAGCACTTGATGTAAATAAGAAGTCACAGCAAATAGGGCAATTCATTTCTAACCCTTTCTCCAGGCACTTGTGAGATGCCGATTTCATCCCCAGGCAGCAGTTGCATTTCATACAATGAAAATAATCAATCCCAAGCCCCCTCCCCACACGGCACAAATTGCAAAATGGGCAGTGATATACATTCCTGAAAAAGAATGACATGACTTTAACTAAAAAACAAAATTCAAAAGACAAAAAGGTTGACAAGGTAAAGCACACTCTCATGACTTGTATCATACTCTTGCTACCACAACTATATTGCATCGAGAAGAACAGCAAAATATTTTTAGTGAAGAAAAAATTCGTGGATATAAAATAAGAGTGCGTGTGTGTGGATGTATGAATGTATGTATGAACATCAATATGAAATTTGAGCCTTTTATGCTCCTCTAGATTTTATCCTTCATTTTCAGTAGAAAGAGATGATTCGATCCCTTGCAAAGGATTAAACTTTGTGCAACGGAATATTTAGTTTTCGTCATCATAAAAAAGGAGATATAGCTTTCATCCTAAAAATCCTGACTTTTAAAGGAAGAACTCAGCACTAAGAAAACTACCTTTCATCATCAAAAAATTTGCATATGTTGCAATAGTATTTGGCCATTGAAAATCCATTACATGAAGGTGTCATGCATATTGGCCCAACTGGCTGTATAGTCAAGCAACGCATACACATCATTTCTGAAGTTGCTTTTCTGCAATTGATCAAAGAAATAGTTAGTGGAATAAAATGTTGTACAAAGAAACAAAAGGGCACCATAAAATATTTACCTATCCATTGAGTGATCGCTCACATTGTCATGGCAAAATCTACATGCAAACAACTTGCCACAGCATGCAGCTCTAAGTTTGCAGTTTCTTTTATAGTGTTCACATCCGAATATTTGTTTCTCCTGGTCCTGAAATGATGCTGAGCGTCCTTCAATTCTTTCCCCATCAGCAGAATCCCCAGCTTTAGCTTTAGGTAACTTTTGTTGTGCAGCTATCCATCGACTGCAATACACATATAACTGGTCAACAATTGCGGATTCAAGACAATACAATAAGGTTCTAAGAGATGAACGTGCAGTTAGCCAGTTAACAGTCTTAATTATACATAGCAAGTTATGGTCAGTGTATAAACCTAGTCATTAGATTCTGCACAAGATATGCTTTTTCTTCTTGGATCAAGAGTTGAATCTTGATAAACCTTCCGGATCTCTGACTCAAGCTCATTCTGATTCATCCGGAATATGTCTTTCCAACCTGGCTTGAACATCTGATCATTCAGGTCCATGCTTTCCTGATGTTCAGTACCTAGACAGAAGTAAAACATTAGGTATTAATCATGCATATCGCAACTTCAACTAAACACGAAAGACATAAAGGGTATCAGAAACCTTTTAGAGAAGCAGTTTGCTCTGGTGTTTCTCTCTGCAATATAGCCGATGGACTTTCTTTCCAGCAGTCATTAAGCCATTCATTGAACATAGTATTTTTTGTTGCCTGCTTCCATGTATCCATCATTTTGTTCTGTTCATCCTCAGTAAGTGCAGAAGTTACCCACGGTAGCATAGATTGTAGAACTTCTGCACCTGTAGTCCCAATTATCCGCCCCACTATCTTGTCTTGTTCTTCGACAGTAAAATGTCTCCCAAACAATGGCCAGAGCTCAAGCTCTTCCCTAAAAATATGCTGATCCAGTGTCACTCTTATGGATTTGCACATCCCTTGAAGTTTAGTTGCTAGCTCATTGTACTTTCTGTTATTATCTCTAAAACTGACATCAGAAGTTGCGGTAGACACACTGGTCATCTGAAAGTCTTCATGAAGGACAGAGAGCTCAGAAAGAACATGGGAAATATCTTCAAATAATTTTTCTTCCTGCTTATGGTCCAGCATGTATGAATGACTCACATTATGAAGTGATTCTTTGGATTCCAGAGCTGGAAATACGATATCATCTTCAGCATTACTGTGAGCTCTATATAGACCCCATAAAAGACGAAATCTTCCAGTAAACTGCCGAAGAATTGTCTCATCACCATGACTAAGTTTTCCAGACTCAATATCTAAATACTCCAAATCTTTGCGTATAGCTTTGTGAAATTTAAATATAGTATCAATGGGTCTTTCTGCAGAGTTATCACACGAGTTATTATCTGTTTCCCATATGAAAAGACTGGAATTTATAGATGGAGCAGAAGAGTTGAAAGACAGGGAGCGCAAGGACTTGACAGTAGAAAGAGAGCTTTGCCCCAAATTATTACTGCTTACTCCTAAACCTGGTACGCAACAAGACCTCGCACTACAACATTGTTTCTCAATACTTTCAGACTCTGAAGTTTCAGAGAAATCTCCATTCTTGCATAATTCCAATATGCTCCGCTTAACTGGTCTTTTGTTCTCATCTAGTTCACCTAGCAATGAGTAATCCCTAACCGATAATGCTGAAGTGCCACAAGGACAGGATGACTGGACAAAATTTTCTTCAATGTCAGCAAGTCTTTGAGCAGGACAGCAACCCAATGCACTTGAAGACAAACACAAGCCCTCATTACGAGCCTTGCAAGCCCAACCACAGAAGAGTGTGACTAGAGCAGAATCTGTTGCTGGAGCTGAATGATTGACAATCAGTCAGAGGTAATAAAACAAATCAATTTATTGTCTCTTTTAGCGTTTGGAAAAAAAATAAGATAAACATAGAACCTGCCAATTGCATATTTCTTAAAAATGCCTTCACTTGATCTTCGGTTAATGATCCTACCAGCCATGGCAGGACGCGTTCAATCAATTTCAAAGGCATCATGCACAAACTTTGGTATAGAAGTTCACGTTGCCTTCCAAAGCTAAAGTGCTTCCGAGCAAGTGGAAGAACCTTCAGATGAGTAAAACCAATACATAAATAATTATATTAAATGGTAATTTCAATATTGCAACTTTCTTGTCAAGACTTAGTGATTAATCAGTTATGCACCCAGTTTTAAAGAACTCCCATCACATATTTCTACAAATAAATACCAGAATTTATCCATATTAATCAAACCCATGACAAGATGTAAGGTAATTCCCAAGCATACATGACACTCGAGTTCAACCATCAAGTCAATCTTCATATCACAGAGTACAACAGCAATTATCAAACACATTCACATTTCACGCCAGCCACAAGAAAAATGTATCGTACAGAAACTGAAGGTGAATATAAACTCACTTGAACTTCTTCATTATGAAAATGTCTTTGTATAGTTTCCATTATCTGATCAGCTTGTGAGCATAACTTGGAATAAAATTCAACGTCTGAACTAGATGTTGCTTCTTCATTCTGAATAGCTTCAATCAAACTCCGAAAGTCATTAAATTGGCTTTCCTCTTCGGCATGCTCTTGAGAGAAAGAAAATTCACCATCTACAGCTGGAAATATAACCTTGTCCTCAGCAATACTGCATTCACAGAATTTATCAAATTTTCATATTATAAATGTAGATATTTGCCATCGAAATAAAATAGTTCTTCATAATAACTCGTTGCATATTTCTAGTGCACTTTAATTTTGTTCGACAACGATGCTGTCACTCTTTATCTAATAAGATGTAAAAATAGAAAAATCCTCCATTTAGGCATCTTCCACAATAACATCCATCGGAATTTCCTCTTTTATCCTTATAGATAGAATTGCCATACTTTTCTGTATCATCTCAATATATATCCTTTGAATATTTTACAGATAAGTTGGATAAAGTGAGCAGAACAAGAGAATATGGCTTTTTACAGGGATCTCTTCTCTATTCCCTATTTTCTTAAATCTGTGTGCCAGTCCCTTCGATAAATCAAAAGCAGGGACAAATATTCTTGCATATGCATCTATGATAAAGAAAAAGTGGAAAGCTGAAAAGATGGACAATAACAAAATAATTAGATTGAGAAACAAATGAAAGTAAGAAGTGATAATTTTTTTTTTAAAAAAAAAGGTTATGTTTGTCAATCAAGGAAGCATGATAAGAAGCTTCAAGGAAACTAAAAATTGATAAAACAAGGTTAAGATTAATACCTGTGAAATATGCAAACTTCAGAGATAAATTGCAATCTTTCATTAAAAGCTGATAGAATAGTAAAATCTCCACAAAGCTGTATCTTCCTGGTCTCCACCACTATCTCACTTAACTCTTTTTTTATTGCATCATGCCACAGCAATATTTCATCTATAGGATGTGTTCCACCAATATCAGAAACATCTAGACCAGATTCAGAATATTTCCTTTTCCCAGTTGTTGTGAACTCACACGCACACTCTACTGTCTCAATCTGGTGGGTTAGTGGGCAACAAGAACCTCGAAACTGAGAATGATCAACACAATTTTCAACTGCAAGAGCACCACTTCTCCCTTCCATCCAAGTGAAAATAACCTTGAACAACCACAAAAAGCGATAAGATACATCATCATATATGATATTAAGTGCAGTCAAGCAGCAGCTGGATAAAATCCCCAACTCCGACTGAGTATTGGTCAAGGGGTAACAACAATCAAAACAACAGAAAGAGAGAGAAAACAGTGCACTAAAACAGCAGCTAAAAGCCATACCTTCTGAAGAAGCTTTTCCTGTGGCACTATTTTGCCTAAGCACTTCCGCAGATCCTGAGATTCATCAGGTGATATAGATGTTGAAAGCCATGGAAGAAAAACTGCCATCATATTCACAGGAATACTGCATAGAAACTGCCAAACCAAAGATGCCTGTTCTTCAAGAGAGAACTTTTCAATGAGCAGAGGAAACACCTGACAGCAACAACCAGACGGGGGTGACAAAAAGAAAGTCAGATACCCAAAAAGAAGAGAGGCATTGATTACTTTCAAAATCCATGACTATGAATAAACGTTAGCAATAAATCCTTTAGAAACAACAAAATGGAAACTCCAGTCACAAGCAATCTTCAGTATTTTCCCAAAATTAATCATAAGCATTGTTTTCATCCTAGTTAGATTTTTGTCAATTAACGAATGAATAAAATTTAGTCCGCCAAATAGTCCTGAGCAATTCAAACTTCTAATAATAAAATCCCAATGTTGGAGTTCAAATGAAGGTCAAAATATGTGGAAGGAGAAAGTTCTAAGATATTGGAGTCGTATAGAAAGTTTGAAAAACTTTGCAAGCAAGCAAGCAAGCTTGAATCAACGAATCCAGCATATAGGATCCAACTGAAATTTTGCCTTCATGATCCCGATTATTTTTGGAGAAATAATGCACCATCCTCCTTTTTTTTTTTTCTTCCTTTTTTGGTTCTTTTCACTTTTCCTTCTACTCTCAATGATCCAGGTCTTGCTTATAATTGACTCCATGGTCCAGATCTTATCAGATAAATTCTGTTTTCTTTTTAAGAGGAACCTGGGGGGATCTCTGCATATCCCTAAAGAGAGTAGGTAGAATTTATGTTATAACATAAACCACTCTTTCTTCTTAAACCATTACAAAAGTGTCTAAAATCAAAAGCCAATCTTTCATAAATAAATTCCTTCAAAAACTCAGCAGCCATTGTTCTATTCCTTGTTACTTCCTTCAAGAGCTCTCGTAAAACATAAGTCAACAACTCTAATCATCTGCTAGGGAATGGCCTTACTACTTAAAAACGGCACAGGGGTCATGAGCCAGCCATCTGCCAATGATAACAACCATTGGGTTGCTGTCAAAAAATACTGTTATCTAGTGTGGCACACACTATGTCATGCTAATAATAACTACCTATAATTCTTCCATTTGATTCTTTTTAGCAGTTATTGGATAAAACTTTCTTCCTGGCATATTTATGGAGGTCAGAGAATAGCCTCCCTAGGGGGTCCAGTTTGTCTTGTGATCAGCAGGTTTATTGGCAGCATTGTTTTTCTTTCCATGGGTGTAAGAAGTTTTTTTGGGGGAGGATTCCTTGTCCTGTATTAGAATAATTTCTCCTTATATGAATTACAACCATCTATATGCGTGTCTTTAATCTTCATTGAAATACATAAACACACGCTTGTCTTCACTCTTAGGAATCAAGAAAACTGTTAACATGTGATAAGGTCTGAAAATTTATTTGATAAATTATCAACATCCAATGGGTCTTTCATCCTTACTTCCTTTGACCAATTCAAGATAGCATTTCCGATATTACAGTTGATGATTTTACAATGCTTGAGCGAGGGGGCAGAGCAGAGTAAAAATAAAATAAAATGCAGGCTCCTTGAGAGTTCTGTAGAGCAGGCTTTCATCACACAGAAAGACAACAAATACTATCTTGCATACTTCATAGTTAACCAGAAGTTTAAGACTTCATTAAAAAGATAAATTTTAACATATAACTTTGGAAGAACTGACTTTATAGTACAGCCTCGCAATGTACCTCCTCCAGTCTTATTTATAGGGCATTTCCAACATTTGTCACTGGAATCAAGAGAAACCTTAAAACTCACTAACTCTCTAAAAATTAAATAAGCTTCCTACTTTGCCCATAATAAATACATCTTTAAAAAGTTGCATGCTTTCCTACATCAATGTTGAATAGGGGTAAAGAGGGGAAGTTGTGATAAATAATCAATATGATACCTTTTAAAAAAAAAAAAAAAGGACCACAAAACCTCTCCTGTACGTGCCTTATAAATAGTACTGGAGGGAATATACTATATAGGTACGGTTGCTGTTAGGGAAAAATTCTCAAGGACGGGTCCAAGACAACATTCTCAACAAGAATGTTTTAATTTTCTCAGAATAAAAATCAATGTGTAAATAAAAAATTTCTGACTTTTTCTTAAGGTACAACATCAGTTAAGTTGGTGCCAAGTCTACCACATTCTATTACCATATCCTTTTCCTCTAGCATTTAGGGGAAAAAACATATTCTGTCTTTTGCTTATCTCAATTTGTAGTCATCACATTAAGAATCCAAATGAAAGGAAAGAACTAACAAGTACATACCTGCTGCTCTTCCTTAGCCATGTGTTGACTCACTGATGTCTGTAGGGCTCCCGTGCAGAATGCTAACTCTCTCAGGAAACTTTCATTATTATGGGTGGTAGAATTTAACAGCTCAAATAGATGATCAAAAAGATTACTTTCACCCTTGTGTTCGAGGGAATATGTCTGTGCCACATTTTTCACACGTATATCAAGGGCTGGAAAAATCACCTACATTTCCATTCAGCCACATATTTTATGTCAGAACTTTTTAACATAACAGAAAAGTGTGAGCAATATTACCAAATTAATTCAACAACATTCAGAAAGGTAGGAAAGAACCAGAGGGGCTCCTCCCCCACCCAACAACCCCCCCCCCCAAAATCTCACCTAAAAAAAAAAAAAA